GACATCAAGAACATCATACATGAAGAAAGCAAAAGGTCATTAAAAAGACAGGAGAGGAAGAAAAAATTACAATGGATGTCACAAGAGACTCTGAAACTTGCTCTTGAAGGAGAATAGCTAAAGTGAATGGAAGAAATAACAAAATAAAACAGCTAAACCAAATATTTCAAAGTGCAGCTTGAGAAGACAAAGTAAAGTATTATAATGAAAAGCGCAAAGACCTGGAGTTAGAAAACCACAAGGGAAGAACATGCTCAGAAGTTTTCAAGCTGAAAGAACTGAAGAAAAAATTCAAGCCTCGAGTTGCAATATTGAAGAATTCTATGGGTAAAACACTGAATGATACAGGATGCAACAAAAGAAGATGGAAGGAATATACCGAGTCACTGGACCAAAAAGAATTAGTCTATGCCCAAAGCAGCAGGGCAGGAGAGCGGGAGAAAAGGGATTAAAAGGCCCAGGAACTGGGACAGAGGAGGAGTCAGCTGCAGGGACCCAGGTAAGGATGGTAGGAGAGGTTTCCAACAGGGAGACAAACTTGTCTGTTGGTTTGTCCTACCGTAGTGAGGTGTTGATATGAGTTTTGAGGCTGAGCCACTGGTGTTTCAAACCCAGTGGGATGCACATGGTGCACAGGTATCAGCCCAGCTTACAGAATGAAACAGAGTAGGAAGAAGGAAGAGGCCATCCACTTCTCAAAGAACTGGCCAGGGAAAACCTTATGATTAGCAAAGAAACACTGTCTGATACATTACCACACAACTTTATGAATAGTCCGGTTAGGTTAGAAGGCTCTCAAAATAGGACTGGGAAAGAGCTGCATCATCAGAGTAAACCCAGCCTTACTCCTATGGACAAGGTAAAGCTTTCAAGACCTGCATTTGCTGATGTAGCACCACCAAATTGAGGAGAAAGAGCTGCAGACATCCATTAATCATCGGAATATGGAATGTACGAAGTGTGAATCTAGGAAAATTGAAGTTGTCAAAAAGTAAATGGAATGCATAAAGATTGATATCCTTGGCATTAGTGAGCTGAAATGGACCGGCTTTGGCCATTTTGAATCAGACAACCATATGATCTACTATGTTGGGAATGACGGTTTGAAGAGGAATGGTGTGGCATTCATCATCACAAAGGATGTTTCAAGATCTGTCCTGAAGTACAATGCTGTCAGTGATAGGATAATATCCATAC